ATTAAATAAATAAAATAAATAAATAAATAAAGTGAAAATACTATACCTGTCTGATCTTTCATCCTTTCTAGAATATACATATCCCTATCCAGAAATCATGTTTACATTGAGGCCCTGGCTCTAACATACTAGATATGCAAATATAGACATACATACAATGTGTAGAAGAAGTTCAAAGCATTACCAGTGAAGTTCCATGGGGTAATGTAGTAGCTCACAAGCTGTTGTAATTGTTAGATCTCTTGCATAGGTCTTTCCTTTTGATTGCTGTGTTTCTATGAATATTACCCAATAATGTCTTTTATATATATATATATATAATATACTATATATATAATTATATAATAATACATATATATAATATATTATATATTATAATATTATATAATATATATTATATATTACATATATAATTATATAATATATATATATATTATTTAATTATATATATATATATATATATATTATATATATTTTAGTGGGGTAGAAGATATAGAAGTGATGCAAAGAGTTAACCAAGAGATGTCCATGATTTTTTCTCCCAGCCTCAGATCCAAAATACTCCTCTACCAAGGAACACCCAAACATAAAGCCATTGTAGGAATGACTGGGAAAAGAAGAGGTAATATCTCCTGAGGTCAAAGAAGCAGTATGCCAGAGTTTTATATGTTCTGTAGCAAAATTTCTTCATTAATGGATGTGAATTTTGCCTATTTCATTCACTCACTATTCAATATCCAGTATTAGTCTCAAAAGCAGATCTTTTTTTCCTCTATCCTACTGGAGTTCTTAATTCAGAATTGAACTTACTACACTCAGATTCAGACTAAGTAACCAAAACTAATTGGTAGTAATTCTTCTACTTACTGTGAAGTCCCTTTCCTGTTCCTGGCTAGTTGATATAACATTCTGCAATGGAAAAAAGTAATAATAATTAAAAAATAAAAAATAACAACCTAGACATATGTCATAAAGACAAGCTGTTTTATTTTTCTTATGACCACTCACCGCAAGCCCTCCCTGAACATCTGAGTGAGCCGCTAGATCTTTAATATTAAACTAGTTGAGAGTGTTTTACCCTAAGCTTTTCGCAACTAGCCTGTGTGTAATTACGCATAATTTCTTTCCTTCATGAAAGTTTCCACTTGATAGAAAACTAAAACATTCCAACTTCTGCAAATCTGGAAGTAAGCTTCATGGGGTCAAGAGTAGCAGAGTGCCTTGACAAAGAGGAGTATCAAAGTTGGATAGAAGGTGCCTAAATTTCTTTCTACAAACAATTCCAGCCAACATTATGTTCACAATGACTATTAACTATGTGAGTGAATAAAACTGGGTTTGGGGGAATACCATCTCTGTGGTATGTTAGCTTGTCCCTTCACAAACTCTCAATTCCTTGCTCTGAATTAATGCCATAATAAAATCAGAAGTGTCTCATTTCATCTTCAGTAATAGGCCACAAGTCCCAGGTGGTCTTAAAAAAAGTGTTGTTTATTTATTTATTTATTTACTTGTGCCTCAGGAGAGCATTCCTTATTTGCAATTCCATTCTGGTCCACTCAGGCATGCTGGCAAATGGGTAGTCCGAATGCATAGATCAAAGGTCAATGAAACATCTGCTTTCCTCGTCTTGTTATTACCAGTATGCTCTTTTCTAGCTTCTGCTGTTCCGAAAATCTTTCAAGCATATAATGGGTAAAGTTCCCTCATATCTGAACCTTCAGCTCCAGCTGACACCTCAGTAATTTGTTTCCCATAGCAACTTATTCGGGATTCTTGACCTTGATGGAATGGCTAATGTGGCCACTCCTAACTCAACACTGCAGAAAGATCACAAGTAAACCATGAGAAGTGTATTTATTTTACAGCTTTGTTTTGACTTTGTTGTCTTTATTTTATTAACTCTAGTTTGTTCTGTTTCAGCAATAGTAACACATAACAAGAGCTTTATCACAGATTTCTTAGTTTTAAAAGAGGATACATTTTGGTGGTTCATCATAATAGGTTGGCATATGGTATAATGATGGTATAATGATGGTATATCTTATATATTCATGATTATGAATAGCACTCAGAGCACTTGTATTTTCTAAAAAAACCAGATCTATCAGAGTGTTTTTGTTTTGATTTAACCATCTTTAATGAGTTTTTACTGAGTACCATTGCTAATCTTTCAGATTTGAGAAAAGAGCTAAGTAATTCCCGCAGAGACACTTGAATGTAGGTATTTCTGAACATGAGTGCAGTAGTTGTAAGTCAGTAGTATATCAACGTTCTCTGTTGTTCAGCCTTCATAAGAAAACACTGCACTTTGGAGGAAGGAGATCAGAAATGTGAACCCAGAGATCTATTTATTTCAGTGAGCAGTATCTCAGCACCCTAAATATCAATGCAAAGTTGCCATAGACTTAAATAAGCCATGTTTTTAACCATATATTGTTTAAATTAACAGTTTCCCTATTTTTCAAACAGGTAATTTGGGGGGATGTGGAAAAACATAATATGCTTAGGACTAAAACTTCTATTTTTTTTTTCATAAGAAACTGGAGCAAATGAAAACTGAAAGAGAAAATATTTTGTCAGAAAAACAATAATTTTTCATTTTGAAGTGCCTCGGAGCAACTTATGAGACCCACCTCCAAATGTCAAATAATTATGATAATGTAATCACAGAATCATAGAATATTTGGGGTTGGAAGAGACCTAAAATATCATCCAGTTCCAACACAGAAACCTTCCACTAGACCAGGTGGCTCAAAGCCCCATCCAACATGGTCTTGAACACCTCCAGGGATGGGGCATCCACAGCATATCTGGGCAAGATGTTACAGTGTCTCACCACCCTCTGAGTGAGGAATTTCTCCCTTATATCTAAACCAAGCCTACCCTTTTTAATTTAAAAACTTTCCCCCTATTCTTATTACTACACACTAAAAAGACTCTCCCTGTCTTCCTTGTAGGTCAACTTTAAGTATTGGAAGACTGCTATAAGGTATGATGTTCACAGATTAGATGAAAGGAATTATCAGACTGTCATGGGCTAAGTGGTTCTTCATGGAGGTTGGCCCATGCAGGAGAACAAACTATGTTAAGTTATCAGACATTTGATTCCTACAAAGCTTAGAGGAAGTACTAGCAGATTTAAAATAAAATAAATCCTGTCCCTACCATTTATCTACAAAAAGGAGTGGGAAAATAATATATATATAACTGAAAATATTTCTAATGTTACTTGTTCGGTTACTGTATTTCAAAAGAACTTGTATATAAACTGCTTATAAAGAAAAATATCTTTCTGATTTAAAAGGATTGTGAGAATACAAGATTGTATGTGTCTGACAAGGAACGTATTTCTTCTGCCTTGAGACCGGCATCAGGATTTAGTGACTGGAAGGGAACTTCTTTGTGAATACCAAGGCCCTTTGATAATGGATGATAAGGTCATCGTTTGTTAATTGCTGATTCATACAACTGTTTTGAGACACAATATTTAAAATTTCTTTCAAACCAAAAATTACTGAGGAGGAAAGGAAGGAAGGAGGGAAGGAGGGAAGGAGGGAAGGAAGGAAAAAGAAAGAACGAAAGGAAGGAAGGAAGGAAGGAAGGAAGGAAGGAAGGAAGGAAGGAAGGAAGGAAGGAAGGAAGGAAGGAAGGAAGGAAGGAAGGAAGGAAGGAAGGAAGGAAGGGAAAGAAAGGGAGAAAGGGAAAGAAAGAGAGAAAGAGAGAAAGAAAGAGAAAGAGAAAGAAAGAGAGAACGAGAGAACGAGAGAACGAGAGAGAGAAAGAAAGAGAAAGAGAAAGAGAGAGAGAGAGAGAGAGAGAGAGAGAGAAAGAAAGAAAGAAAGAAAGAAGAAAGAAAGAAAGAAAGCCCGCAGCACTACACGACAGCCACTAAAGCAAGACATCCAGCAAGACCGCCAGCCAGCAATACGCAAGACTGAGAAGAAAAGAAAAGGAAGAGTGCAAGCAATCATGCAACATCCATACCCATAGGAGAAAACAGTGAGCAGACAGTGGATGGTAGTCATATTACAAACTACAGACAGAACAGCTGGAATGGGAAATCAATAATTCAGCTAGAAAAGACAATGTGCAATAATTAAATTATGAGCATTTAAAATATGATAGCTTCAATCTTATGAGCCTGCACTTTAAGAAATACTGTGACTCTGTAACAAAAGCATCAGCAAGATTTCCTGAGCCTTCCTTGTGTCATTGTTTAGCAAACAAAAGACAGTGAGAGAGTATTCTGCCTATACAGTTAAGATACTCATCCATCTGTATTTTTAAAGCTGACTTGTAAGTAGAATAATAAAATTCCATCAATTTTATGCAATAATACCAGTAACATTTAACACCTTTAAACCCAGAAGAATTAACCTTCCTTACATAAATTTATGTCAGAAATGAGACTGATCTTATACCACAATAAAGCAGGAGTAGCTTGTTAAAAATCTAAACAATTAATACTGGAATCAGCCCTTGTATAACCATATTGACAGGTGAAGATCAAGTATAAGAGTGAATGTTTTTCTCCTATACGCTATAAACCAGGACCTCTTCAGCTCAGAAAGGAAGGTGAAGATGATTTAAATTTCTCTTCAAAATCCCAGACTTCAGATAAGGTTAACAAATTAAAATGCATATATGACACATTTTTGTCATAACTTTTGTATTTTACAAATGTGCAGTGAGGCTCTGTCCTGGTTTCAATTAGAACAGAATTAATTTTCTTCCTAGTAGCTGGTAGAATGCTATGTTTTGGCTTAGGATGAGAAGAGTGCTGATAATACCCCGATGTTTTAATTGTTGCAGAACAGTGCTTATACTAAGCCAAGGACATTTCAGCCTTTTGCTCTGTCCTGCCAACGGGCAGGCTGGGGGTGCAGTAAGAGCTGGGAGGGGACAGACCCAGGACAGGTGACCCAAACTAGCCAAAGGGGTATTCCATACCATCTGACGTCATGCTAAACAATATATAGGGGTGGCTAGCTGGGGGAGGGGGTCTGGACTGCTCAGGGTTAGGCTGGGCATCGGTCAGCGGGTGGTGAGCAATTGCATTGTGCATCACTTGTTTGTACACATTATTATTAGTAGTACTATTATCATAATTGTATTATTATTATTGTTGTTGTTGTTGTTGTTATTGTTATTATTCTCCTGTCTTATTAAACTGTCTTTATCTCAACTCACGGGCTTCACTTTCCATTTCTCTCCCCCGTCCCAGAGAGGGAGGTGGGAGGGTGAGCGAACGGCTGCGTGGTGTTTAGCTGCCAGCCGGGTTAAACCACGACAGGCTCTAAATATTACTGTCTTTTCTTTAAATAAGACAACAAACCATGCCAAGGAAGGTCAAAAGCATGTTCAAAAATTCAGAGGAGCTCTACAAATCAGATAAAGTTCATGATTCCTATCCCTGCTTTCTGGTCAATGGATTAACCAAAAGTGGATACAGCAAAGAACAGAAAATGTAATTCTGCATACCTCCAGCCATGAAAAATGGAAAGTGGATGCAAATAATTCATTCAAGTTGCATCTGTCTCTGTCTTAAACTGCAACTCCATCTCATATTTCTTTCAACCAATGAGGCTGTGTAGATCTGTGTAGATTTTCTGAATCTACAAATATAGCCTGGAAACCTCTACTCTGATAGTGCAATGTTATGCAAAACAGAAGGTGGAAAGAAAATTATTAAGTTTAGTTTCATCTGATGCATTGGTGTGAAAGTTGAAAAGATCTATCTGTGCACATACCAGGGGAGCATATGCATGGGAAAAGAGAAAGGCTGTTTCAGAAAAAGGGTAAAGGTATAACAAGAACAAATACATATAAATGGGCTGTCAATAAGAGTAAGCTTTTTTGTTGTTTTTTTTTTTTTTTCCTTACCAACAAAATAATGAAGGTCTGGATAAGCCTTTTGGTATGCAAAAATATAATATACTTTAAATATATTTTAGGATGGGGCTCAAAAACTTCAGGAAGAGCGTAGCATACTATGGCTATAGTACTGTCTTGAAGTTATTGCGTGCAAGTTCCTGAATCCCTCAATTATCTTATTAGTATGGTATTATAACCACAGTATGTGATTTGGTTTGAGCATGTTTCCAGCTGTTTGAAAGCAACTAAAACGGATACTGATCCAGATTACCTAGGAACAAATCATATCAGACATGGACACAGGAGTGAATTAATTCTGGATGGCTTACAGCAGTCTAGCTAATGTCAGTATATATAGTTTCAGGTAAACTAAATTTTTTGAATCTCTTCTATTTTTATTACTTCTGTATCTGTGTGCTCCCAGAGGCAGCTGAGTCACAGTCTGAAAAGATGTTGTAAGAGAGGACCAGATGCACATAGAGAGATGCTGTCCTTGTATAAGAGCATATATTAAAGAAGCTCAGTTCCCTTCTACAGTCTTGTACTGTTTCCTGTACTTCCCTGCTTACAGTTTCCAGTACTCAGTGTGTTAAGGACTTTCAGAAACTGTCTTATAAGATTCCTTTTGAAGCTGTCAGACACGTTGTTGGAAACCTGTCTCTGCCTGCGTGCAGCTGGTAGTGGAAAAAAAAAATAAAAAATGTGTCTGATATCCTAGAGGCAAAGGTCAAAGAGAAGGGATAAATGCTTGTCTCAAGGTCACAGTGAAAATCAGTAACAGCTAAAAAAACCCTGTCTCCTAACTCTTGTTCCAATGCCTTGACAACCTGAGCATACTGCTCCTCCATCACTCTCTTGCAAAGCAATGCATATGAAGTATGGATTTATCAAGAATATTAATTACCCTGGGACTGGATTGAGCCAATGCTTAAATTTTCTAACTCAAATCCTAATCCAGAAAAGGAGGTCACTTTTGCTTCAGACTTTATTTTGTATTACACAGCCTTGATTACTGTTTGCTCACCATTGTGATTGATTGTAAAGGAAAAAACAAATTAAAAGAAAAAATTCTTTTCTGGAACCACAAGGCTACCCAGGGCCAGGGAGGGATGTTATTTTTTATATGTGCAACAAATTTTATAGCACTGCTGGATTAACTGGGCACAATCTCTGTCACAAAATGATTCCAAATGCAAACATGTGCATATGTTCTGAAAACACCATGTCATTTACACAGTTCAAGTGGGTTCAGGTAAGAATTAAACAAACATCAGCTCTAAGCAGCTTCTCAGCTTTTCATATAGTTAGCAGATTGGCCTATGGTGTACAGAAAAGGCTATTGTTGCTTTTTAATCTCCTTTCAATGTAGGGAGCTACTGTTCTCTCTATTGCACTGATAACACATAAATTGCTTATCCTCCAAAGCAGCCTTCACCTGACCACTGACTGCACCTCTCTCTTTGCCAGGCACCTGATAATCTCTTCCCACTTATTTTTCTGTCTGTGTTGTGTTTAGCTTGAGGGATTTCTGTGGCCCTATACAGAAATAGAATTTAAAAGGTCCTTTTTCCTTTTTCTTTCCTCCCCTCCTCTGCCTTTCTGTTTGTCTGTGAGATGAAAATCCATTGGGGGAAAAAAGAAGGAAAATGCAGCGGTAGTGCGAGCATGCCAGAAAAACTCCGATTCAAAATCACTCTGTGAGATTTCACATGTACTGTGAAATAGAGGTTGCAAAGAGAGGGGCAGATTTTCAGTGGTGCAACATGATGATCTCTCAAAATTTGCCTCAAGACTCCTCACTGGTTCAGCTGAAGTCATTTGGGAATGGCTAATATTTCTGAAAATAAAGCCCTTTGCTCTTTTTGCACTGGAGTTAGGCAATAAATATTGTCTGATCATCATAGAGGTCACTAAGACTTCTTACCTTGAATATTTATCAAGTATTAAGTGTACTTGAATATACTTATCGAGGCTGCCTTACCCTCTAAATGCACAGGACAAACAAAATATATGAAAGGTATGTAACAAAAAGTAGGGGAAAAAAGAAAAAAAAAAAAGAGAGAGAGAGACAGAGAAAATAAATATAGAAAACAAAAAGAATAAAATATTGATACAGAAAGTTTCAGGAAAGCAATCCTAACAAAACTTCAATTTTTCCCTTCCTATGTAAGAAGAAATGGTAAAAGAACATACGTTGAATAATATATATATATAGAGAGAGAGAACTTGTTCTATTTCCTGTATTAAAGAAGAGGGAGCAATTGCAATGAGAAGTTATACCTTTTTTTACTTAGATAAGCTAAATCACCTTTATATGAACCTTGCCAGACACATCTGATTTACCGGTACTGGTAAGAACAGTGCTATTTCCTTAATATTGAGTATTCCTTAATATAAAGTATTTAATCTCTGCCTTGCAATGAACATTCAGTGCAAGTCATCAAGACCCTACTGAATAAAACAATCTCTTCAGAAACTGATGATTCACAGACAGGACCTAACTTCAGATGTTCAAGACTTGCTCCTGATCAAAGCTCTTTATTCCTAAATAAGGACCAGTGGGGCACAGAGAGGAGTTTATTTCCTTCTCTAGTATAGCAGTGAAAAGAATGAGGAGTCTAAAGCCCAGTTGAAGGAGTGATGGTAGGAATGACTTAGCTGCCTCCCTAAGATGAAAAGCAAAGATGAAGCGGGACATCACAGGCGTGGTTGCCATGGCCAAACAAAGCTGCATCACAGCTAATCATTATTCTCAGAGCTCTGTTTTCTCAGCTTTACACCCCTGCAATTACTGCGAGTGTATGCTTAGGTGCTAACTCTGAGAGGAGGAGAAGGACTGTGGCTCATCACCCAAGCAGTGGTGTGGGTTGTACAAAGCCTTCTGTAAGAGATGATTCATCCCAACACCTATGTTACCATGATGATATGTTTAGCTGGAGATGTCCTGAGCACTTTATCAAGTGCCAATCTTGTTGCTTAGGAAGACTTCAAGTAAACTAAGGCAGATAAGTCATTCTGGTTTCTACGTAAATATGTGTCATGGTTTGGGCTGAGAGAGAGTTATTTTTTTTTGCTGAGAGGTTTGTATGATGTTGTATTTTGGATTTTTGATGAGAATAGTGGTGATAACACATCGGTGTTTTGGGGTTTTGTTGAGCAGTGCTCACACAGAGCCAAAGATTTTTCTACTTCTCATGTTGCACTGCCAGTGAGGAGGCTGCGTGTTCACAAGAAGCTGGGAGGGTACACAGCCAGGACAGGTGTCTCAGATTGACCAAAAATATATTCCATAACACATTACATGATTCTGAACAATAAAACTGGGGTAATAAAGGAGGAAGGGGAGAACATCTGCGATACGGTGTTTGGCTTCCCAGGAAACTGTTGCACATGATGAATTCCACTTTCCTGGATAAACATCTGCTTACCAATGGGAAGTAGTGAATAAATTCCTTGTGTGGCTTGAACACATAGCTTTTGTTTTACCCAGTGGACTGTCTCTATCTCAAGCCATGAGTTCTCACACTTTTACCTTTCCAATTCTCTCCCCCATCCCACCTAGGGAGAGGGAGCACCTGTGTGGTTCTGAGCCCACCAGGTTAAACCACCACAAGACAAGGTCTGGGCAGAGATTCCTATTGCTAAGAAGTGGACGGGACATGACTGAAGCAAATTTACTTGTGTGTGTAAATTTGGACAGGCAGACATGAGGGGTAGGTCTTTGTTGTCTGAGCAGCTCTCCAATATTCTTCAGCAATGAACTAAGGAACATGGGCACGACCAGGTTTAACTTGCAATTTGGTATAACAGACAGGAGATTTTTATTTCACTTAGACCATACTCCAAAAGCTGCAATGATGTAAGCAGTCAGAAAGTACTACAGCATGTTGCACTTGTACAGAACAATGTAAATCTAGCCTCAAATCCAAAGTTTGTTGCAACCTCACACATTTATTTATTTTATTTTTTAATAGCTACCAGACACCATTGCCCCTTTGTAATGAATGCAAACAATTTTTATTCAATAAAGTTTGACTGTAAAGTTCTCTCTTATTATCCATTTTGATTAATGACTTTCACAGAGTAGGAGCATCTGGGGAAAATACTCTTTTGTCTTTTTCTCAGTTAATGTTGTCACTTGATACAAAACAAATCAGCTATATCTGCCAA